CGGTTGCAGTTTGTCCCCGGCCCTGGTTGGGTCGTGTGGGTGGCAGCCACTCGATGTGTCCCTTTCACATCGATGTTTCTCTCTCTCTCTCTTCCTCCCACTCTATCTCAACAAAATGTTGAAAAATGTCCTCTGGTGAGGATTAAAAAAAAAAAAAAATAGAGGATTGCCCTGAGCAGTTTGGCTCAGCAGTTAGAACATTGGCCCTCTGACAGAAGGGTTGCGGGTTTGATTCTGGTCAAGGGCAGGTACCTGGGGTTGCAGGTCAGGGTTGTGTGGGAGGCAACCAATGGGGTCCTGTGGGAGGTAACCAATCAATGTGTCTCTCTCAAATGGATGTTTCTCTCTCTCTCCTTCCCTCCCACTCTCTCTCTAAAAATGAATGGGAAAATATCCTCAGGTGAGGATTAACCAAAAAAAGAGGATTTACCCACAGAAAAATCACCAACACAAGTTTAGAAAGGCAAACACTGCCAAGATGGTACTTTTACTAAACATCTTTCTTGTTACAATTTTATTAACAAACTTTACTACTCAGCTTTATGTTTTAATATGCCTCAACTTCAAAAGGCTACTTTTGTAACTATGTGAGGTGATGAATATTAACTAAACTTACTGTCATGATCATTTCACAACATATCACATAGCAAATCATTTTATTGTACACCTTAAACAAATACAATATTATATGTCAATTATATCTCAATAAAACTGGAAAAATAATAGTACAATAACATCACAGGAACCATACTACCTTAAAATATGGAGTATTCTATTCAATATTTTTATCTGAAATGTGAAATTTACCATGTTCTGAATGGCATCACAACTTTTCACATGGAATCACAGAAAATATAAAAATGTAAAACATTAAAGAAACAACGGCTACTTGGTTAAGTACTAGACAAGATGGCTCTTTTTTAAATACCACATTTGCCTCAATGAAAGTATACTGTCATGCCAAATAGGTTTCTTTTTTTTTTTTTTTTTTTTTTGTATCCTCACCCGAGGACATTTTTCCATTTTTTGTTTAGGCAGAGTGGGAGGGAGAGAGAGGAACAGAGAGAAACATCGATGTGAAAGGAACACATCGAGTGGCTGCCACCTGCACAACTGACCAGAACCGGGAACAAACTGCAACCGAGGTACGCGCCCTTAGCGGGAACCGAACCCGGGTCTCTCAGGACCGCAGGCCGATGCTTTAACCGCTGAGCCAAACCGGCCAGGGCCCAAATAGGTTTCTTGATAACATAATCTAACATTTTAGTAACTCAACTGTATATTAACACAGAAAATGTAGCTGATCACTAACTTCCACTTATTTATTTTATTGATTTCAGAGAGAAGGGAAGGAAGAGATGGAGAAGGAAACATCTATTTGTTGTTCCATCATTGGTTGATTCTTCTATGTGCCCTGACTGAGGACTGAATCTACAACTTTGGTGTATCGGGATGATGCAACCAACTGAGCTACCTGGCCAGGTCTGTGTTGATTAATGACTTTAATTTAGAAGATACCTGTATTTAGAAAGTGGTAACCTTTAAGAGACCTGACTTTGGAGGGGTGAACATGCCATGTAGATGATGCTGTATACTGGAAACCTGTATAATTTTATTTATCAATATCACCCCAATAAATTCAATAACACTTTAAAGAAAAAGAGTAAGAGGTAACTTTTGAGTGCTTATTGTGTATCAGTCACTGTGCTAAAGAGATTTATGTGCAGCCCTGGCCGATTTGGCTCATTGGTTACAGTGTCAGCCTGTGGATCTGGGTTCAATTCCCAGTCAAGGGCACATGTACCTGGTTGCAGGTTCAATCCCCGACTCCAGATGGGGTTGTGCGGGAGGCAACCAATTGATGTGTCTCTCTCACATTGATGTTTCTCTCTCTCTCCCTTCCACTCTATCTAAAAATCAATGGAAAGCCTAGCTGGTGTGGTTCAGTGGTTGAGCATCAACCAATGCACCAAGAGGTTGCCGATTTGATTCCCAGTCAGGGCACATGCCCGGGGTTGTGGGCCTGATCCCCAGTGGGGGGCATGCAGGAGGCAGCCAGTCGATGTTCTTTCATAGATGTTTCCATCTCTCCGTCTCCCTTCCTCTCTCTAATATCAATAAAGAAAACATTTTTAAAAATAAATCAATGGAAAAATATCTTGGAGTGAGGATTAACAACAACAACAAAAAGAGAGCGAGAGATTTATACGCATTTATCTCACATAGTCCTATGAGATAGGCACTATTATTAGCATTTCTACTCCACCAAGGAGAAGAGGAGTTTAACTTTAGTACCTTAATCTGCTAATAAATAATAAATCTAGTCTTAGAACTCAGAGCTCAAGAAAGATCCTTAACTTCACTCCTGCTCAAAACAGTTGTCTCTAGGTACAATAGATCTTAATTAAAATCTCCAGAAAATTAAAGTTACATTATAGCACAAACTTCATAAATAGTGACTGAATTTCCCCTTTAGCCTTCTCTTTAATATGCCAAAATAATTCTAGACCCTGAGCTTTCCTAAAGCTTTAATCATTTATGGCGCTCTCTGCTGTACCTACCCATTAGAACAATTTTTAAAAACATTAACACTACCAATTATTTTCAAAAGCCCAAAGATACTAATCAAGTGATCCTAATAGTCTTAAACACTATCCTCAAACCAAAAGATAAATGGAGACTGGGAAACTTGCATTCTAAAGTGCCACCATCCAGATAAAATTACTCTGTGAATTAGAGTAATTTCAATCAGATCCCATAAAATTGAACATTTTTCTCAAGACCAGAATTAATGAGTAACTATAAGGTAGTTCAAGGGCGCAAACTCTGAAACATAAAATGGTATGCCACATGGCAAATTCAATAGCAAAAGGTAGGTAGCAGGAGCTAGGGACAGCAGCAACAGTTTAGAAAAGTAGTCATAAAAACCACTACAAAATGATTTACCTATTCATTTCACTGGTCATTCTGTCTTAATACAAGACTGTAATTATTCTAAAAAATCATATGCTGCTTGAAATAAGACATAATATCTTACTACATGGTGCCCTGAGTTTTAAGTTAACACATTACATATTAAGAAAAACAATGGCATTTTATAAGCATTAGAAACTCAATTACATTTTCTTATAGGGCACTTGCATTTATGACTGTAACAGACATTAACACACAACAAACTGTTTTATATAATACAAACCAGTGAATGTGTATACTTTGTTAATTTTGTAACTTATTAATCATTCTTAGAAGAGATTATTCCTTTAAAATGCAAATGATCACACCATAAACACAACTTTTTTTTTTTTTGACACTAGCTACTTGGTAATCAAGTATCAGATATATTTTTTAAAAGAATTAAATGATCAGACTAGAGTCTATTCAATATAACGCACTCAGTAAGATAAACTCAGTTATTAAATGGAGGAAGTATAGGCAGGAGATTCCACTTCAGCTGTATGACAGGAAGTACTAGCTATGGAAGTTTAGAAACAGGAATACCAAGTTCTGTTTCAGCAAAAGAAAGGAAAACATGCTGGTGAATAAGGGGAAAAGAGGAAGTTCTTTTTAGTGAACAATATGCCATATATTTAAGACAATCCAAAGTCATTCTAGAAGTTAAAAAAAAAAAAAAAAAGCCTCACTTTTTCACTAGACTTAAGTAGTAATGTACTTCCCTAGGTACAGTGGAGCCTGGATTTGAAGTTTTGCTATAACAAGACTGCTTATGGAGCACATTTTACACATCTGTAGGGAGGTATGGGTGCCGTATCATTAAATTGTTAAGTTTTATATCTTAAACTAAAGTTTGATGATTCTTTTTTTTTTTCAGCAACACTACATAACTAAATCATTTTTTAAAAGTGTGTAAGTTTCACAACAATGTGAATATACTTAATACTACTGAATTTTACACTTAAAAATGATTAAGATAGTAAATTTCATGTTGTGTGTTTTTACCACACAAAATGTGCATCAGTGAGAAATTATTCCACTTAAATGTTAATAGTAACTTGTTATGTAAATTTTGATTAGTCTAAAGCTAAATTCTTACTATTCTTAATTTTTAATAAAGTAATTTGTTGTTGTTGTCATCTTTAACAGCTGGACTCATTTTATGTAATTAATTTTTAAAGATACTTCCACACACGAGCATGAACTACAGAGTGAAAGTGAAGCACTATTCTCAATTAGCATCTTTCAAATCATCTGAATTACTTATTGCCAACAAATACTAGTTATGAAATTATAAGTGTGTTTCTACTTCAGCTGATTCATTCATTCAATGAAGTGCGAATCTCGAAATTAAGAGCAAGATCCCTTACTGAATAGGCTTTTGTTAAAGCGTTGTAGTTCTGAATTGTCAGGTGGGCAACACTCCCCACACCTCTGACGAAGGTGGCCCAGAACGCTGTCAATATCGTTTCCAATCAGCGCTCTCACCTGGCCCAGCCATACCAAATTGGTCAGGCTCTAGTGAACTCCCATTAGGTTCTGTTCATAAAAGTGTACAACTGAGGTTGGTCTGGTGGCTTGGGAAGAGCCAGAAGCAACCGGCTTGGCTCGGCCATCTCTGGGAAAAGTGGCCAGGAAAAGAAAACTAGGAAGGCTTCAACTTTGCGCAAACTCCCTATCTCAGTCACATCTACCTCCCTTCCCGAAGGGCTGTGTTCTGTGTTCTGGAAACATCTACCCCTCTCCAACTCAAATGTCATTCCCAGATCAGCTGCTTGAGAGGCAAGCGGCGCCCAACTCAGGTCATGTTCCTCGTGCACCTTCTCCAAGTGCCAGCGCTGGGCTCAGCTCACTCATCAGACCCCCATCCAAGCCCTACAGGGACCCTGGCCCACGACCCCGCCCGCAGAAGGGCTGCCCTGGCGAGTCAGCCGGGAGACGTCGGCCTGGGCTGCTTTAGCCGCCCGAGGGAATCCGACCCTGGGTCGGCTAGGGGCGACCCGAGACGGCAGGAGGGTCTCACTGTTAGGGGGGACAGACGGCCTCACCTTGACCCTGATTTCATAGGTGGTGAAGCGGCCTCGGCCGACCCCCACCGTCTGCGGGTTGCTCACATCGATCTCAAGGAAGTTGCTGGGCGGCCCGTAGGCGTCATTCAGGTTCTGCGGCTTAGTGATCAGCCGCCGGGTGTCCGCCACCGTCTCCGCCATTTCGCTGTGGCAGCCGCAGCCGCGGGCTCCCTCCGCCCCCGCCGCGTTCCACCGACGCCGCCGCTGCTGGCCGCCGCGAGGACACCGGGCTCGCGCGCAGCGGTCGCGAGGCGCACGAGCACGTAGGGCGGGCGTTCCCCCCGCACGCGAAGCTCCTCCCCCGCCCCTCCGGTTTCCGTCTCTCGAGTCCAGGGAAGAGACAGGTGACAGGCCGGAATGCGCGCCCTGGGTTCGGGGGGCCCAGCTGAGGCCGCGGAGGGGAACTGCGGCCAAGGCGGAGGAGTAGCGAGGTCACGGGACTTGTAGTCAGAACAGGTTCCGGCCAGACTACAGCGCCCACAATGCACCGGGCGAGCGCGTCGCCGTGGGAATGCGGCCGAGCTCCGGCGGGACCCAAGGAAGCGGGGGAGGGCGTTTCCTGTCTTTCTGCGTCCCCCGGACCCTGGACCAGTGGGAAAAACAGCGGAAATGGTCTTCGCGCCCCGGGAAACTGCGAGGACAAATGAACGGCGAAACGTGAGAGGGTTGCCGGCAATCGAAACAAAACTGCCTACGCTAACTGTATGCTAACCTATGCACCGTCTCACTTTGAACCCCCGAATGTGCCTTTCGAGGTAACCATTAACAAAAGCCTCAATGACTTTAACATCGACTTAGAGAGTTTCACCAGAAACGTGTCTGATTTGGTAAATTCAAGGCTGTAAAGTAGGAGAGTGGAATAAACAAAACAAAAAACTCGGGAGATCATAGCACTAAAGTCAAACCGTCTTTGGCTGGAGGGCCAAAACAAAGTAGCAGATAGTAGGTAGGTTGAAACCTGCCCTGAATGCCCTGTTCGGGTGACCTGCAACTTTTTTCCTTCATTTCCCACGTAGTCTCAGTAAGCTAAAAATAAGAAAGTGGCAAACGTATCTCTACAGCATTTGAAATGAAACTCAGATAAACCTTTATAAGAAATGAAAAAACAAAAGTATATTATGGTTCATTTCTAGCAAATGCAGGTTTTGAACGTTAAGGTAGAAGAATAAATTTCTTGCTGGAGAGTTATCTCCCTTAATGTTACAACCCCACAACTATTTCTGGACTTTTTATGTTGTTTCAGAAACCCAGTTACTTTAAATGATCTGTCCCTTAAACTGAAAACTTGTCCAGATCATTAGCAACTATTCCTGATAACACTAAGAACAACAGAAATTGCTTTAACATGATATGATTATTTCCCAAAAAACTCAATATTCATTGCCCTGACCGGTTTGGCTCAGCGATTGGAGCGTGGGCCTGCGGACCAGAGAGTGCTGGGTTCGGTTCCCGCTAGGGGAATGTACCAATCAAACAAATAAAAAACTCAACATTCATTGATTCAACAAATATTGAAGGCCTATAGATGTTTCCATTTTAGATACTAAAGAGATAAGGTAAGACATAGAACTTCTCTGATCTCATTGGGTTAATAGTTGAGTATGTCTTGGGGGAGACAAATAAATCAATAAATAATATACCTGCTAATAAGATTGGTGTTATAAGGAAAATAAAACTGGATAATGTTATAATGAGTGAGGCAAGCTCATAGACAGGGTGGTCCGAGAAGTCCTCTGTGAGCATATCTCTTTTTCAAAGAATAAGGATGATAGAGTAAGTATGCCCAGACAGGACTCCCTGCTTAGTCTGTTTCCTATTGCAAGAGACCAAATGGGAACTTGATTAAAGTGGTGAACTCAAGAAATGAGTATAGGTGTCTTTGAGTTTAAGAGACCAGGAACCACACTATATTGTGTTGTCATCAATGACACCTAAACAAAGCAATCATGGGATATTTTCATAGAAAACTTCTGCCTCACTTCTTGTAGGCCACTTTAGAGCAGCCTTGGGCAGCAGCAATAATTTTCTGCTGTGGGAAAACAGAAGAGCAGTCATACAGCTAAAGAAGAGCTTCCCAGTATAAACATCAGGAAAAGCTTACCATTATTTTTTTGGAGATAGATTGTATTTCTAGAAAAATACACACACACACACACACACACAAAAGCTACTAGAATCAATAAGAGAATTTAGGGGCTGAATGAAAGAACCTAATTTGTAACTTTTCTCTGTCTAGGTAATGTCTAGTTAGAACGGAGATGGAAAAATTATCCTATTCACAACAATAACCAAAAGTAAAAAAATACATACACACACACACACACCAACCTAGGAAGGATGGCGCAGGATCTATAAGAACAAAATTATAAATTTTTATTAAATGACATAAACCAAAACCTAAATAAAAAAGAGTCCTCCCTGGCAGGTTTGGCTCAGCGATTAGAATGTCATCCTGCGAACCAGAGAGTCCTGGGTTCAGTTCCCATTAAGGGCATGTACCTTGGTTGCAGTTTGTCCCCAGCTTCTGATGGGGTTGTATGGATGGCAACCACTCAATGTGTCTCTCTCACATCCATGTTTCTCTCCCTTCCCCTCTCTTTCCCTCCCACTCTATCTAAGATAAATGCAAAAAAAATGTCCTCGGGTGAGGATTAAAAAAAAAAAAGAGTCCATGTTTCTGAATAGAATAAATTAACATCAGAAAAATGTCACTTCATAATTAATAAGGCAATTATAATTAAAATCCCAGTGTGGTTGGTTTTACCCTACCCCTTGCCTTGGGTGGGTGGGTAGTACCGGACAAGATTTTTTTCTTTTTTAAACGTATCTGTATTTTTTAATATATTGCAGATGTCCCCACTTTTGCCCCAGTGACCCCCTCCTCCCTGCTCCCACCCTTCTTTTGCCTTTCCCACACTATTATCTGTGTCCATTGGTTATGCATATATGCATATAAGGTCTTTGGTTCATGTCTTCCTGCCCCTCCTCCCCTCTTCCCTTTGAGGTTCATCAGTCTAACAACCCATTTGTACTTCTTTTTTTTTTATCCTCACCCAAGGACATTTTTCCATTTTTTGTTCAGACAGAGCAGGAGGGAGAGAGAGAGAAACATTGACATGAAAGGGACACATCGAGTGGTTGCCACCCGCACAACCCAACCAGGGCCGGGGACAAACTGCAACCGAGGTACATGCCCTTAGCAGGAACCGAACCTGGGTCTCTCTGGACCACAGGCCAATGCTCTAACTGCTGAGCCATACTGGCCAGGGCCAATTTGTATTCTTAATCCCTTCACCTTTTTCACCCATCCCCTCAAACCCCTTCCCATCTGGCAATCACCAAAACGTTCTTTGTATCTGTGAGTCTGTTTCTGTTCTGCTTATTCATTTAGTTTGTAGATTCAATTGTTTATAGATGTATATTTATTGACATTTTATTGTTCATATTTTTGATCTTCTTCAAGAAGATCCTTTAAAATTTCATATGATACTGGTTTGGTGGTGATGAACTTCTTTAGCTTTTTCTTTTCTGGGAAACTCTGTATATGTCCATTGATTCTAAATGATAGCTTTGCAGAATAGTGTAATCTTGGTTGTAGGTCCTTGCTTTTCATCACTTTGAATATTTCATGCCATTCCCTTATGGCCTGCAAAGTTTTTTTTTTGAGAAATCAGCTGACAGTCTTATGGGAGGTCCCTTGTAGGTAACTAACTGCTCTTCTTTTGCTGCTTTTAATATTTTCTCTTTGTCTTGAACCTTTTGCATTTTAATGATGATGTGTTTTGGTGTGGGCCTCCGTGTTCATCATGTTGGGTCTCTTTGTGTTTCCTGGACTTGTATGTCTGTTTACTTCACCAAGTTAGGGAAGTTTTTTGTCATTATTTTTTTCAATAGGTTTTCAGTTTCTTGCTCTCTCTCTTCTCCTTCTGGCACCCCTATGTTGGTACACCTGAAGTTGTCCCAGGGGCCCCTTACACTGTCCTCATTTTTTAAAATTCTTTTTTCTTTTTGCTGTTCTGATTGGGTGTTTTTATCTTCCTTATATTCCAAATCGATGATTTGTTTCTTGGCTTCACCTACTGTACCGTTGATTCCCTGTTAATTACTCTTTATTTCAATTAGTGCATCCTTCATTTCTGACTAGTCCTTTTTTATGTTGTTGATGTTCTCACTAAGTTCCTTGAATTTCTCACTAAGTTCCTTGAGCATTCTTATAACCAGTGTTTCGAATTCTGTACCTGATTGATTGCTTATCTCCATGTTGTTTAGTTCTTTTCCTGTTTTGTTCTGTTCTTTCATTTGGGACATGTTTCTTTATCTCCTCAATTTGACTGCTTCCCTGTGTTTGTTTCTGTGTATCAGGTAGAGTTTCTATGTCTCCTAGGCTTCCTAGGGTGGCCTACTGTAGTAGGTGTCCTATAGGGTCCAATGGCACAGCCTCCCTGATCACCCTAGCTGGACCCTCAAGGTGCACCCCTAGTGTGGACTGTACACTCTTCTGTTGTAATTGAGTCTTGATTGCTGTTGGCATGTCAATGGGAGGGATTTACTCAGGCTGATCAACTGCAAGGACTGGCTGTGCCCACTGACCACTGGCTTCTGACTCCCTTGGAGTATCAGCTGTGTATGGGCCCACCACACAGAGCAAGACTTACTTTAGTAGTGGTACCCACTGAGTCCACTCCTTGAGTGTGTTGTTTGTGGAGGTAGTTGGGTGGTGGTGTTTTGCCATGGTCTGGAGCTGTCCACTGGGTGTCCTGGCTGTGGGGCAAGGTAAGCCACTGCCTGTGTTCTACCTGGGGCCACCCAGCATAGGCTACAAAGTGTTCTGCAGATGGCTGCCACTTGTGCTGGGCTTGGAGGTACCAGGAAAAGCCACGTTGTGAACCAAGGCTGGTTGCTTCTAGTGCCAGGCCTGGGGCCACTTAATGAGAGGTATGGGGCTCACTGAGACCAGATGCTGCTTGTTTGAGAGAATTTAGGAGAATCTGAAACAGGATCCAGGACAGGCCAATCCTATGGTAAAGCCACTGGAAACAGCTTGGGTGGGCCCAAAAGTTAGGTGAGGCACAGCCTTGGGGAATCAACAGGGCCTGGGTGCAGGGGGCGTTGGACAGTGTGAACCTGGTTGCTGGAGTCCCAGATATGGTGGCTGTGTGCCACCCAGGGAAAGGACTTACCAAAAGAACAACAGCCTCCCATAGCAAGTCTGTCCAAGAGAAAGATGCCCCTCCAGCTCTCCCATCTATGCCAAACAACTCAGTTCTTTTCTGTATGTCTCTGGCACCTTTCAAGCTGCCTCCCTACACTGGAGCTCAGGAGGAGCGAGTCCGAATAAGTCCGTGCGCAGGCCCTTTAAGAGGAACTGCCTGGGACTCCAGAAGCCTCAGGTCCCCTCAGTCTCAATTTCAGCCGGTTTTTACAGCTACACGTTATGAGAACTTCTCTTCCTGGCACTAGAACCCTGAGCTGGGCACCTGGTGTGAGACAGGGACCCCTCGCTCCTTAAGGAGGACCTTCCCAGCCGAGGTGTCCTCCTGACTTTTATTCTCCACACATGGGTGTGGGACCAGCTTGTCACACCTCCGCCCCTCCTACCAGTCTCAGTGTGGCTGCTTCTTTAATTTCCTAGTTGTAGGACTTCCATTCAGCTTGATTTCAGGTAGCTCTGAATGATGCTTGTTCTATAATTTAGTTGTCATTTTGATGTGGCTGTGGCAGGAGGCAGGTACCGCATTTACTCGTGCAGCCATCTTGACTGGAAGTCCCCGCACAAGATTTTTTTAAGTTCACATGTTGGAGAATAACCAAGAAGATTATAAAAGTGAAAAAAATTAAAGTGGGATTTGCTTTACTAAATGTTATAATTCACTATAAAACTACTATGTACAATAGTGTGGTTTTGGCTCTATATAAAATAGAATACGGAACCAGGTCTCAGTAAAGAACATGATATATAACAAGGGAAGCATTTCCATTTCCTGGGGAGATAGTGCTGATACAATTGGATGTCCAGGGAATAGAGGGACCACAGAGCTGGTCCCCTGCATTATACCATATATGAAAAAATTCTAGATAGATTTAAATACAAAAATAAAACAAGTGGCCCTGGCCGGTTTGGCTCAGCGGTTGGAGCGTCGGCCTGAGGTCCAGAGAGACCTGGGTTCGGTTCCCTCTAAGGGCACGTACCTCGGTTGCAGTTTGTCCCCAGCCCTGGTTGGGTTGTGCGGGTGGCAGGCACTAGTGTCTCTTTCACGTCAATGTTTCTCTCTCTCTCCCTTTTCCTCTTTCTCCCTCCCACTCTATCTGAACAAAAAATGGAAAAAAATGTCCTCAGGTGAGGATAAAAAAAATAAAACAAGTATATTAAAAGGAAATTTAGGAGAAAAGTTGTATAACCTTGAATAAGGTAGTGTTTCCTAAGCAATATGGGAAATAAGATTTAAAGAAAAAGTAATCATTTAAATACCTAAATTTTCAATGAAAATTAGATAGAAAAAAGCATAACAAAAAATCGGGGGAAATATATATACATAACAAATAGAATAGTAAAAGGCTAATATTTCTTTATAAAAAGAACTCCCATAAGTTGGTAAGAAAATGACAACCCCACAGAAAAATAGACAAAGAATATAAGTACTTTTCTACATCTTTTTCACATAATAAACACAAAATCAGAACAATCTTATGAGTGGATACCACTGTTGTCCCCATTTCACAAATGGATAAACCAACGCACAGAGGCAAATAACTTGAAGATCACTCAGTACAAAATGGCAAAACTAGCTCCAGAATTTATATGCTTAAACACTATTTCTTGCTGACTCTTAGATTAAGAAATTCAAATGTATAATAGACATAAAAAATATGTTCATACTCACTAATCAAATAAACATACTTTAAAGCAAACATGAAATCATACTATTTTCTCCTATCACATTGGCAAAAATAAAGAACTGGAGCATGTAGTGTTAGGGAGAATGTAGGAAAACAGCTACTCTTACTTTGTTTACATGAATCTGAATTCTCACAACCTTTGGGAAAATTAATTTGACTGTATTTATAAAAATTAAAAATATTCAGGAAACTTTGATCCCCAAATTCAACTTTTGCTGCACGAGACCTTAGTACTTGTGTATATAAGTATAGATATGTTTATTACATCTTTGTAGTTGCAAAAACTATAAACAGCCTGAAGTCCTATTAATAAGAAAATGCACCCTGGCTGGTTTTGCTCAGTGGTTAGATCTTCAGCCCATGGACCAGAGAGGCCTGGGTTCAGTTCCCGCTAAGGGCACGTACCTCGGTTGCAGTTTGTCCCCGGCTCGGTTGGGGTCATGTGGGTGGCAACCACTTGATGTGTCTTTCTCACATCGATGTTTCTCTCACTTCCTCCTTCTCGTCCTCCCACTCTGTCGGAAGATAAATGCAAAAAAAAAAAAAGTGTCCTCGGTTGAGGATAAAAAAAAATTTTTTTTTAAAAAGAAAATGCTTGAAATATAGTATATTAAAACTATGGGAAATTATACAATAATTTGAGCAAATTAAATAGTTCTATTTTTATTTCTTAGAACATTAGAGATATTTTTAGTTATTAGAATTTAAGAAGAATATCCATGATGTATTGGTGAGGATCACAGAATAATCTGTCTAGTATAATCTCACTTTGGTAAACAAACAAAACCCTGTGGGTGTATATATGTACTTTTAATTTTTTATCCTCAACCGAGGACATTTTTCCATTTTTTGTTCAGATAGAGTGGGAGGGAGGGGGGGGGGGGAGAGAGAGAGAGAGAGAGAGAAACATCGATGTGAAAGGGACACATCGAGTGGCTGCCACCCGCACGACCAACCAGGGCCAGGGACAAACTGCAACCGAGGTACACGCCCTTGACAGGAACCGAACCCGGGTCTCTCTGGACCACAGGCCGACACTCTAACCGCTGAGCCAAACCGGCCAGGGCTATATATGTACTTTTATATGTGCATGTTTTTGTGTGAAGGATATATACTAGGCTGTTAACACTGGTAGCTCTAGAAAGGGTGGCAATGAAAGTGGGGAGAGGGATGGAAAGATATGAGCATATTGTAAAGATGGGCTAAGATGTTACAGAGAAAACTATAACCAATTTTATGCTTTCCCAATAGACAAATTCTAGAAAAATAATTTGTCAGTGTGCCTGTATTACTGTGGGCATCTTAATACTGTAGTTGTGTTCCTTGAGTTGTGTATTAGATTATCACAGCTTAATGGCTTTGGTCATTGAAATTCTTCTTTCAGACGTCACTGAACAGTTAGCTGATAGTAATATCATTTCCTATGAAGACTTTTTGTTTGTTTGTTTTGTTAATCCTCACCAGAGGATATTTTTTCCATTGATTTTTACAGAGAGTGGTGGAAGGGAGAGGGGAAGGAGAGAGAGAGAGAAAGAGAGAGAGAAAGAGAAAGAGAAAGATGGATGTGAGAGAAATACATCAATTGGTTTTCTCCGCACCTGCCCGACCAGGGCTGGGGATGGAACCTGCAACCCAGGTAAGTGCCCTTGACCAGGAATGGAACCTACAACCCTCCCCCTCTGGTGCACAGGCCGATACTCTAACCACTGAGTAACCCTGGCCAGGGCTGAAGGCTTTTTCATAGGCAAAAGGAAGTGCTGCCTGTTGGGAGCAGTTGGCTTATATTTGCATTTTAAATTTGTAAATGGAGGTTATTAACCAGTCTGTGAGCTTGATTAGTGCATCATTCCCCAAGGCCTGATCACCTTTGAGAAAAATAATAAAACCAAGTAGCTGGACTTCCAAAGAGTCAGACTCTGGAGTCGTTGTAAACATAATGAAGTTCTATAACCTTCTCAAGGGCCAGGCATGGCTATTTTTATATAATTGTTTCCAATTCAAAGCATTTCCATTCTTACACTCTGACCTACCACCTAAACCCCCACTCCCTGGGTTCTGAGTATTCCCAAAGAAAATCCCAAACCGACGGGCACCTTTGCAAATTTATGGTTTCCATCTTCAGTTGACCCTTCAACATGCCTCAGTAATCCCTTATTTTATCCTCTCCTCTTCTCACATTTTGTACCCCTTTTTCTTACTCTCAGCAGGTAACCTCACTTCATGCAGAAGAAAGAAAAGTGAAAGCCATGAAGCTCAATATCTCCTTCCTCATTGCTGAAGCACAGCTTACAACATGTCATCCTTAGACCTTCTCAGAGCACGAGGCAGGTCTAGGCCTCTTCCAGGTTTTGAAGATGTAGGCATTTTCAAATTTGGTATTGGGGTAATTATTTATAAGCACTGTGGTTTGTTTGTTAATTTTAAATAAAGCATTTACATGATTCAAAAGTCAAAATGCACTTAGTGGACTGAGAAGTCCTGGTTCTATTCCTGGTCAGGGCACATGCCTGGCATGCAGGCTCCATCCTTAGTAGAGGGCCTGCAGGAGGCGGCTGCTTGATGTTTCTCTCACATCGATGTTTTTTCTCTCTCTTCTTTCCTCTCTCTCTAAAAAATTAATAAAAACATTTTTTAAAAATGTACTTATTCATTGAAAAATCTCTCTCCTGTCCCTATCACCACCCATCTAGTTCTCCTTTGTATTGACAGCCACTGTTACCAGTTTCTTGCGTATCTTTGTATCCTTCCAGAAAAATTCTATCATGTAAAATGTATGTGTGTGTACATATTAACAGAAATGGCATCATATGATACACTTTTGTACCTTATTTCCCTTAATAATATGTTTTTGTTGTTAATCCTCACCTGAGGACATTTTTCCATTAATTTTTAGATAGTGTGGAAAGGAGGGAGGGAGAGAAAGAGAGAGAAAAACGTCAGTGTGAGAGAGACACATCCAGTAGTTGCCTCTCAAGGGTCCGGGGATCGAACCTGCAACCCAGGCATGTACCCTTGACTGGGAATTGAAACGGCGACTCTTTGGTCTGAGGGCCGACGCTCTAACCACTGACCAAACCAGTCAAGTCTCCCTTAATAATGTCTTGAAGATAGACCCACATTTGTACAGGAGCAAAGTATTCCATTATATGATGTGCCATACTTTTTGTCCCCTACTGATGAATATGTGTGTGTGTGTGTGCGTGTGTATGATGATGTCACCTTTCACTGTTAACAACGCTGCAAGAATAACCTTGAATATGACATCATTCCAGACATGTGGGATTAAATTTGTAGGATAAATTTTTATAAATGGGACCACTGGGCCAAAGGATATGTGCATTTATGAAATATTGCAAAATTTTCTTATGTACAGGTTTTAGCGGTTTACATCCTGTTCAACAAGGGATGGAAGTGCCTATTTGTCCATAGCTTCACCAACACCGACTCTTATCAAACGTTTTAATCTTTACTAGTGTAAATCATATCCTTATTTAAAATTTTTTTTTTTATCCTCACCTGAGGACACCTTTCCATTTTTTGCACAGATAGAGTGGGAGGGAGAGAGAGGAAGAGAGAGAGAGAGAAACATCGATGTGAAAGAGACACATCGAGTGGCCGCCACCCACACGACCAACCAGGGCCGGGGACAAACTGCAACCGAGGTACATGCCCCCAGCGGGAACCGAACCTGGGTCTCTCCAGACCGCAGGCCGATGCTCTAACCGCTGAGCCAAACCGGCCAGGGCTTAAATTTTCTTTTTATGAGTACAGGTGAGCATCTTTTCATATGTTTATAAGCCATTCATGTTTTTTCTTGTGACCTTTGTTAAAACACAAAATTCAACTAAGTAAATTTAAAGGTTAAATTGGCTATATTCAATGATTTATGAATTAGCAGCATTCCCATCTAGCAAATAGAAAAGGGCACTGCCCTGGCCAGTTTGGCTCAGCGGTTAGAGCATCGGCCCATGGACCAGAGAGGCTCAAGTTCAGCTCCCACTAAGGGCACGTACCTTGGTTGCAGTTTGTCCCCAGCCCCGGTTGGGGTCGTGTGAGACAACCACTCAATGTGTCTCTCTCACATCGCTGTTTCTCTCTCTCTTCCCCCTCTCTCCCTCCCACTCTATCTGAAGATAAATGCAAAAATGTCCTCGGATGAGGATAAAAGAAGAAAGGAGCTCTGAGGAACTGTACAAAATGGAAGGCTTCTGCCCTGGCTGGGTAATTCAGTTGGTTAGAGTGTCTTCCCAGTACACCAAGGTTTCGGGTTGGATCTCTGATCAGACACATTCAAGAACCAACCAGTGAATGCATAAATAAGTGGAACAACAAATTGATGTTTCCCCACCACCACCACCTTCCTCTTTCTAAAAATCAGTAATTAAAAACATTTTCTAAAATTTAATAATTCAAAATGGAAGGCTTCTTTCTAAACAGAAGAAGGTGGGAAAAGTAAACTGCTAACACAGAATAGATTGTTTCAGGCAAGGTTACCTTCCTTGGGTGAGGGCAGGGGTCTGTCATGGATTACTAGGTAGTGCTGATCAGGTAATTACAGATTAACTGATTAAAAGTCACATTCCTGGGAGAGGTTGAAACTACAATTAAATTTTGGTTTGCTGTCTTTGCAGCAAGTGATTCAATTCTGAGCCTATGTTATTATTTTTTTTTACCACAAGTTTGTTTACATCCTTTGTCCAGTTTTCTATGATACTTTTTCTTGATATGTTGTTTATTAAATATTTAAGGGTAAGCCTTTTGTGTGATATAAATTGCAAATATTTACCCCATTTTACATGTTTTTTACTATGAATTTTATAATATAATTTATGTAATTTTCTTTTATGATTTTTGAGTTTTAAAACATGCTTAGAAAGCCCTATCTCCTCTTATATTATTTTTTAAAATCCCTTTAAAAATATGGTACACATATACAATGGAATATTACTCGGCCATAAAAAGAATGAAATCTTCATTTGCAGCAACATGGGTGGACCTAAACTAGAGGGTATTATGTTAATGGAAGTAAGTCAGACAGAGAAAGACAAATACCATATGATTTCATTTATATGTGGAATCTAAAGAACAAAATAAACTGATGAACAAAACAAACAGACTCATAGATGCAGAGAACAAACTGATTGTTGCCAGAGGGGAGGGAGGGGTTCGGGGGGTGGGCTAAAATGGTGAATAAATTAAGAAGTACAAATTGGTAGTTACAAAATAGTCATGGGGATGTAAAGTACAACATAGAGAATATAGTCAGTAATAATAATTATGTATGATGCCAGGTGGGTACTTGGATTATCAGGGATCACTTTGTAAATTATAATATTGTCTAACCCCTATACTGAACACATGACACTAACATAAAACTATATTTTTCAACTATAATTGAAAAATAAACATTTTAAAATAAAAATCCAATTTTTTTCTGGTATATTTATAGTTTCTTTTAAAAAAAATATTTGACCCACTTAGAATTTATTTTGGCTAAGAAAAGTATGGATCTATATTTTCCCCCACTTTTCCTACCAAGTCGTCCTAACATCATTAAACATCATAAATTTACTAAGTATTTTTTACTCACTGATTTGAGATGGTTTTATTATATTTGAAGTTGCATGAGAAATGTATTACTTTTTTTTTTAATCCTCACCCAATGATAGGTTTATTGATTTTAGAGAGAGAAAGAAACATTGATGTGAGAAAGACATTCATTGATCGTATATGCCCCAACTAGGGATGGAGCCTGACACCTAGACCTAGATATGAGCCCTGACTGGGAATTGAACCCACAACCTTTTTGGTGTACAGGACAAGACTCCAACCAACTGAGCCACCCAGTGGGGACAGAGGAATGTATTTCTTATTCAACACTGTATATTTCTGTGACTGCATGTGGTATAATAAAAAATATATTGATGTTTACCCCTAGATCCTGGCACAAAGCTCCTAACGTGCTTGGAATTTTCTGAATGATAGGAGTGTCTTTTGTCATTCCTAAGAAACCCCCCTCCTTTTAAGAGGACACCCCCTCGGGTGTCCTCACCCGAGGACACTTTTGCATTTATCTTCAGATAGAGCAGGAGGGAGAGAGAAATATTGACGGGAGAGAAACACATTGAGTGGTTGCCACTCACATGACCCTAGCCAGGGCCAGGGACAAACGGCAACCGAGGTACACGCTCCTAGTGGGAACTGAACCCCGGACTCTCCGGTCCACAGGCCAACACTCTAACCCCTGAGCCAAACCAGCCAGGGCCCTAAGAAACCCCTTTCACCACACCTGAGTTTATGCTGATAAAGTGACTTGTGGGGCAGGGCTAGAAAGCTTCAGGATGGGAGCCGGTCACCAGAAAGTCCAAACTAGTGAAGATAGGGTAGAAACTTCTAGCTCCACCCCCTAACTCCTGGGAAAGTGGCAGGCAGGAGACTGCATTGAAGCTCCTTGCACCCCTCCTCCCTTACTTGCCCTATGCTCTTCTTTGGCTCTTCTTCTTCTTCTCCTCCTTCTTCTTCTTCTCCTCCTCCTCCTCCTCCTCCTTCTCCTCCTCCTCCTCCTCCTCCTCCTCCTTCTCCTTCTTCTTCTTCTTTTTTTTAGAGCAGGAGGGAGGGCAGGGAAGAGAGAGAGACACATTGATGTAAGAGGGACACATCAAGTCGCCACCCACACAGCTCTGAGGTACATGCCCTTAGCGGGAACCAAACCCAGGACTCTCTGGTCCGCAGGCCGACACTCTAACCGCTGAGCCAAACCGGGCAGGGCATCTTTGCCTATTCTTGAGTTGCATCTTTTATGATAAACTGGTAAACACAAGCAAAATTCTTTTCTGAGTTCCATGAGTTGAATTATCAAAGCTGAGGGGGAAAGGGTCATGAGAATCTCAAATTTGTAGTCACCTGGGCAGAAGTGGACGACTTAGGTACCCTATTTGTTTGTGTCTGGTGTCTAAAGTAGGGGCAGTCTTGTGGAACTGAATCCTTAACCTTTGGGGGTCTATGCTAACTCTAGGCAGTTAGTGTTAGAATTGAATTGTTAAACACTCAGATGATATTGGAGAATCAGAAACGTTGGAGATGATATTACTCTGTTCTAGTAGCATACATAGTCTTCCTCCTCTCAAAGGTTAACTTCTCTATTTCTTCCATAGTCAGGGAGAGGTGAGCACATGGTTGCTCCCTGGACAGTTCAAGAGTTTGGAGTCTCTGTGAGGCTTACACTTCAGTTGAACACATCTTCATACTGATTTATATGTATATTTGTTCACAGTTTCATTTAAAGAAGAGACTAAGTGTTCCCAGGAGGTAACCAGGCCTTGCTAGCATGCCCCTTTCCGCAAATGCCTGCTGGTAACTGGACTCTCACTCTCAGTTGGCAGGGTGCTTTTAGGCATGTATGCCCTTGGGGCGGTCTCACTTCCCACCCTGAGATCCTCTACACAGTATCTCTTACAAAATACACAAAGCTACATTTTGTTATTTTGTGTGTGTGATTTAGTGCCTTTTTTATATTGGTCAATTAGGCAGTGCCTGACTGGCTGTACTAATGTCAGAGCCATCCTCCCTTGCTTTTTTTCAAGTTCTTCATCAGTTATTCTTTTTTTTCTTCTGTCTTCTCCTTACTCTTTGTGTTAGCCATGAGAATATGCCTCTCAGATGTCCAGCTTCAGGAAACATCCTATGGCCTCAGCTGCTGTGCTCTGAAATTCATTACTGTGTTTGTTCTGAGTCACATTTCCCACAGGCTGTTAACCAAACACTAAGCGCATCAGCCAAATGCTGAGAAATGCTCAGACATCAGGGATATAAGGCAGGCCCATTCCTGGGAGAAGAAAGACTCTCCTCCAATAGATAACATTGGATCTGATGTCTGAAAGAGTCAAAAGCAGCCATGACAATGGGCAACTTCTGTTCCCAGTCAAGTGGTTGATTTTGAAAAGAGTAAGCCCGGATTTCTTTTGAGAGAGAACTCCTGACATCATGCAGAGTGACTAATTTCAACCATGCAAGGCCTGAGAAGGTTAGTGTAAACCTAGATCAGGGTGAAAATAAGTCCTCAGCTTCTGGAACACTGGCAACCAGGCATTTGCATTCTTTCTCCCAAGAAAATGGATTACCAACTTTTGAAGTAAAGAACCAGTAATGTTTTCTAGAGCACTGAGTTTCTCAAACATTAACATGCATATTAATCACCTAGGAACCTTGTAAAAATGCAGGTTCTAATTCAGGAGTTCTAGGATGAGTCCTGAGATTTTGCATTTTCAGGTAATTCCAGTGCCGCTGGTCCCCAAACCACACCGAGTAGCAAGGCTCTAGAGAATCTCAGAAATGGCAGACATGCTGACTAATTGGTGGGGGAGGGAGAGGGTCCCATTCCAGAACCAATGGCATCAAGTGGTCTCTTTAGATGAACAGATATGTCCCTCTTAAGATTCTTAGACCCTTCTGGCCATTCATGTGACAAATACGTTCTGGGCAGATACAATGAACCAGGCGTGGTAGGTGCTGAGGGAGGAGGGGGCATGGAGAAGAGGGATGGTGGTAAACAAAGTGCAGATTTTTCTTCCACGATCTTTTAGTCTGGTCATTCAGACATGTCTGTAGAGTGTGATGAGAGTCACATAGCCCACCCAGTCTTGGGGGAGTAGGGGAAGCATTCCAGAAGGAAACAAGAAAACTGAGACACGAAGTTGGTGCTTGACAGCCAAGTGCCTGTGAGCGGGAGGTACATTTTGAAGATAGAAATAAACACTTGCAGAGGCCCAGAGGAAAGAAAGAGCTATGCTGAGTTCAGTACGACTGGAATTAAAGGCAAATATGTCAAGAACTAAGGCCAGAGGGATGAGGCCATGAAGGGCATTACAGTCCATATGGTTCTGGACATTATCCAAAGACATTCTAAAGGAAACCACTGAATGGGAATGACTTGATTTTTAGTTTAGAAAGATCACTCTGGCGGAACTAAGATAATAGTGGAAGTGCAGAGAAATAGATGGATTTGAGAAAGAGTTGCCCCTATTTCTCTGGTTTGATCCAAAGGCACTACACTAAGCAACTGAACACTGCTCAGACCGGAAGTCTGTGAGATGCCAGGTCAGAAGAGGATGTCGGCATGCAAAGAGCACCATGACTTCTGTTGGGAGATGAGGGGCCTGACAGGTCTCTGTGAATCGGTGTTCATGTTCTAGTGAAAGACCTTAGCCACACTGATATATGCTCCCAAGCATACCAGGTTTGATTCCTAGTTGTATTTGCAAAGGAAGTAAGCTCTTCTAAGTATTTGGGAACACATCCTTGTAGGAGGCGTATTTGTCCAGAACCTGTGGGTTGGTTTTGGGATAGGGACTGACAGGCCTGCTAGGCCAAGGCTTGATCCACTAAGCTTTTAATGCTCCCAAATCTATACTTACTTCAACCTTGAGTATAGACATATCACTACAGTGTTTGCCACCCATCACACCACACGGGTACACAGGAACCCATATGCTATTTCTGTTTTTTGTCCTATTGACTAAATCAAACTCACATGTCTAAAATCAGTCTCATCCATTATTTATACCCTTTTTGGTATGAGTATTATTATTATTATTATTATTATTATTATTATTATTATTCAAATCACTTGGGTTATTATTCACCTACAATGAGTTATCTTTTTTTCCTTCTTTCTCATCTGCCTTCATCCCCCCTGCCATATCTTAGTTTTAGGTTATATTAGACTGCAGAGATCTTCATATTTCCTATTTTCTCTGATCTCTCTTGTCCATTATGCACAATACTAGCATGATTTACATATTGCCATTTCATTATGTCTTATATTTAGGTTAAATATCTCTTGGCTAGAATTTTATATTTTATACAAATATATCTGAGTTGAAGACAATAGTGTAAGCAAATCTATTTTATCAGGGTTTGGTAGAGGAGATGGGCAGAATCCTTAGTACCTACTTATCCCTAGAAAAGTTACTTTACCTGTTTATGCCTTCAATTCTTTATGTATAAAGTGGGGACAATACTACCTACCTCACAGCATGGTAATAAGCATTGGAAGTTAATATTTTTATCGCATTTAGAACTGTGCCAGACACAATGGTAAGCCCTGAAATACTTAGAATCTGTGTAGGAGTTAATAGGTAAATAATCTTGTTTAGAAAAAAACACGGTTGGAAAATCACAAGATGAAATCTTAAACGCTATGATAATGAGTGCCTGGTGGTGGTAAGCTAGGTTTGTGAGTAGAAGATATGGAATGAATGTTGTATCTAGATGAATGAGTAATGGGAAGCCTGATGATCCTCTTGACCAGAAACCTGAGCTTAAATCTATTGACAGAATGTTTCAAAGCCTTGATTTATTTACTGTTGTTTTAGATTCAAAACATTGGTTTTCATGGGCATTTCAGTCTAACGCAATGTCAACTAATTAGGTCCCAAGTAAAACAGCTGCCACCAAAGGTTTATGTTACCATAGCTTGCATTTAAAAAAGTCAAAATTTTGAGAATATGGTTAGTTCCAAAGTACATTTTTGATAAACCAGCCTGAATGCTGCATTGTGGATAACAAGGTTAAATAAAGGTTCTAATAAGACAAACAGCGACAATTTAAATAAATCAGATGTTTTTGTCGAAGATTACTCTGTGATTTTCTCCAATTATTCATGACATTTCACCCATTCATATTGTGATCTGCTTTAATAGTGGAAGGAAAAAAAAAAAAACCTTGTCTCCTTGTTTATTCTTTGTTCTCAAGGAGATAAGCTGTTTATAAAGATGTTATTTGTTATTTAAATCACTTTTACTGAAGTTGTTTATTTCCTTGTTTCAGTTTCTAAAAATATTGCAACAATTGTAATGCTTCTTAGAGACGTCTATTCAATTCAGAGTGATTTGTACTGAAATTCTTTGCTAAATGGGCACAGGTGCTGATATATATAACATGCTAGAGTGAGTTAAAACTAATAAATGCTTTTAAAAAAAGATAGCAGAGATATACTTGTCAACTTTTGAAATCTGTGATTAAAAACATTTTTGACCTTAAGTCTCAGTTATTTGTAAAGGCCTACCTTTATACCTGCCAATTAATAAGTATTTAATAGTAGTAGTAATAATGATAATAATAAATTAGATAACACCAAAACTATAAGCAGAAAAATTGCATAATTTAAATCCAGAAATCTGCTTCTTAGAAAATGCCCTTTAATTATTTTGCAGACTTTCAAGATCATAATTATTACATAAAAGTAATTACATTAAAAAATAATTTACCTCATAGTAAAGTATCAAATTAAAGCTGAAAAATAGTACTTGTAAACAGAATTATATTTTTAAGAAAATTGTTGAACAGCAAAAGAGGAAAATAAATCTACTGCTTCTCTCTCTGCTATGCATAAAATTACCTCCAGAATAAAATTTGGTAATTTGATACATAGAAGTATAGCATAGAGCTTTATATTACATGTCTTGCATATCAGTCTATAAACCTAAACTATGCTTATCCTAGGTAATCAACAGAATTGATGTCTGAAATAAAGCCAAGAGGATTTGATATTTCAAGGGATAGTTGATTATTTCTAAGAACTAAAGCTTCAAAATCCAGCTGAGTTGATTTGGTCTAAAGAAATGAAGCCTGGTACCATAAATTATAGTATGTGTTCCTGCTGAGTAAGCCCTGGATACTGCAAACTCAGATCTGTGGATGCACATCTCTCCCTTTGAAGTTGATGAGAATTTCTTGGCCTAAGTGAGATACATGCTGGGAAAATTGGGCCCTTACCATTGGTGTGTATAGACATTAGAGGTCTCGATACTGTTATCATCCGATCCCTTAGTTTTCTACAGTGTTGGTTTTGGCAAAAGATACTCAACTTTGTACTAAATCCTTCTTAAAGTAGATATGCCCAATGACTAAAAGGTATTCAGGTTTTATCATCTAGACTCCAGATTCTAGAGAGTCTAGATTGAGAATTACTCTGTTTCTAGTAAACTTGGGTAAATAAAACTCACCTTAGTTTAAAATTTATTCAAGCAATTCCCCAAGGTGTCCATTTGAAAACAAAACAAAATGTAACACCCAGCTTATTCCTTTGAGGTCTAGGCTAAATCATGACTAATTCTGAGTGTAGTCACCTTGTACAAGTACTGATACTTATAAACAAATGAATTCATATAGTTTTATCATTCCATCTTTGAGTTTTGAAGATTGGCTACATTTTAGACCAACTTTAGTTCCTCAGTCTATGGAAATGAAAAATATTTGGTCTATTTGATTGCCTAGTCAGGGATGAGGAATGACTGGCCCACAGGCGGTATAAGGCCCATGAAATCAATGCCAGCTGACATCACACGCCTCACCAAAGAGAAGCAGTTCCAGCCGTCACATTAGAGGTGAGTTTATTAAATGTTTGACCAAATACAGAAGGCTAATTTTTTTTACTCCTCACCTGAGGATATTTTTCTATTTATTTTCAGATAGAGTGGGAGGGAGGAAGACGGGGGGGGGGTGGTAGAGAAAGAAACATCGATGTGAGCGAGACACACATGGACTGGTTGCCTCCTGAATGACCCTGACCAGGGCTGGAGACGAACCTCAACCGAGGTACGTGCCCTTGACTGGAATCAAACCTGTGATTCATTGGTCCATGGGCCGGTGCTCTAACTGCTGAGCCAGACTGGCCAAGGCTAGAAGGCTAATTTTTAAGTTGATAATTTTGCGTGGTCCGAGAATGATGTTATCAATATCCAAATGGCCCATGGCAGAAAAAAGGTTCCTCACCCCTTGATGCAATGCGTCATATCCCACTAACTAACCAACAAAACCAGATTGGTTAGAATCATCACTCAGTGGTAGTCAAAATTCTATTTGACGTGGTTTACTTTTTGTCTAGATATACATCTGATTTAAGGGCCATTTAAGGAACTATCTCATTGAATAGGCAAGTTTTCAGTTCCTGTTACTATTCAGTTAACTTCAAGAAGGGGTAATAGCTGTGCTACCTTGGGCTAGTTACTTACTTTATCTCTCAGAATTATTGAGTCTTTTTTTTTTAAAATATTTTTCTTTATTAATTTTAAAGAGAGAGAGAGAAGGAGAGGGAGAGAGAGATAGAAACATCGAAGAGAGAGAACATTAATCGACTGCCTCCTGGATGCCCCCAACTGGGGATTGGCTGGAAACCTGGGCATGTGCCTTCACTGGGAATTGAACCGGCAATCTCTTGGTGCATGGGTTGATGCTCAACCACTGAGCCACATGGGCTGGGCATTGAGTCTTAATATATGAAGTGGCTGGGTTAAAATCAGAAAATCTTTAAGGTCCCTTGAGGATCCAAAAATAATTTTTTGGATTCCAGTTCAAGATAGTGATGTAGGAAATCACGTAATCTATAGCTACATATAGAAAAATTTACTCTAAAAAGGATTTTTCTTACTAAGTCTGGATATTCATCTACGTTATTTATTTTTCTTTGGTAATGATGAATACTATATGCGTGTGCAATATTAAACCTAGGACATTCTTGGAGTTGTCCTGGAAATATTGAAATTCTATTACTAGTCTGGCCAGTGTGGCTCAGTGGTTGAGCATCGACCCATACACCAAGAGGTCACCGGTTCAATTCCCGGTCAGGACACATGCCCAGGTTGTGGGCCAGATCCCCAGTGGGGAGCATGCAGGAGGTGGCCAATCAGTGTTCTTGCTCATCAACATTTCCATCTCTCCCTCTCACTTCCTCTCTTTAAAATCAATAAAGGAAATACAATGTTTTTAATAAGTAAATAAAATAAAATTTAATTAATAGGTAATATAATTATTTATATTAAAGTGATTGTTTTTCTAATTTTAAAAAAAATATGAGAACACAGGAAATAGAGGGGAGAGGAAATGAGATCAGTTTTCCCAAAATACTATATATGGAGGTTCATGAAAACAAATGAGACGCTTGATAAATTGCCTGTGACATATTTTCTGGGTCTAAATCATTTGAGTGATATGAGATAGTAAAGTAGGTAGGAGCCAGATCTTGATTTTCTAAAGATCTATAATAAAGAAATTGTATTTCATTCTGTGGACAGTGAGGAGGCATTACACATTTAGAGCCTGTGATGGGATGTGGTCCGATAGCTCACATTTTTAAAAACAACTCTGACAGCAAGATGGAGCCAAGGAGAAAAAGACAGAGCCAGGTAGGAGATGACTGCATGAGCCTAGGAAAAGAGGTGGAAGAAGAGCCAATGATAGTAGATGGGTTTAAGCCATATTAAGATGATAAATTCAATCGTATTTGATGAAAGATTGGAACTGAGTGTGGAGAAAAAGAAGTTTATTGAAGAGAGCTCCCAGATTACAAATTTGCATGTGAAGTTGGGGGAGGTTAGAGTGAGTTGGGGGGCGGGGGTTGCTGCTATTTTTAGAAGAAAGATGGCAGAAAGGTCTTGTGGGAAAATTATATGAGAAAAGCCTCCCCCTTCTCCCTTCAACATTTGGGTAAGGAACATTTAAGGAGGAAATATGTAGGTAAATACATACATATTATCACTGGGTTCAATTTTTTTTTTTTGTTCAGATGGAGCAGGAGGGAGAGAGAGGGAGAGAGAGAGAGAGAAACATCGATGTGAAGGGACACATCGAGTGGCTGCCACCCGCACGACCAACCAGGGCCGGGGACAAACTGCAACCGAGGTACGCGCCCTTAGCGGGAACCGAACCCGGGTCTCTCTGTACCGCAGGCTGACGCTCCAACCGCTGAGCCAAACCGGCCAGGGCTCAATTTTTTTTTTAAAGGATATCCTGATAAAGGATATTCAAAACTGGAAAACAAAAAGAACAAGTTATTTTTAATCTGTTGTAGAAACTAAGTACAAAGGAACTAAATAAAGATTTGAGCATTGAATTTGTCTTCAAATAGTGTCGTTGGCCAGTCTCTAGTGACAAGTTAGACAATGTTTCAGTAAAGGAAAAAAAATCATAACTTTTGTTAGAAGGGAAGCAAATATATAAATCTTACTTATTAGAAGGAATAGATTGCTTGCAACAAAATCTATGTACACTTTATATAAATTTATATCACCGAGGTAGGTATATCTTAGAAGTTATATTTTTCACAGTTAATTAGGTATCTAGGCATATTTATTTAGCTTGTAGAAATATACAATTTAAATTATGTTTTTGGTTAGGGATCTTTAAATACAAATGTTGGAATTAGAAGCTAGATATTTGGCTCATCATTCCTTATGTAGCCTAAGTACCATATTTCTTATAGCTCTACTGTGTTTCCTTCTTAAATTAGAAGAACCTGCAATTATGAAGGAATGTGTAATACAAATAAATGAATAAATAAATACTGTAAGTGGAAAACAAGGGCTCTTTGGTTGTGTTCTAATTACTTCTGTGATATTGTAAGATGGTGTTTTTATTCACCTTAAAAATGGGCTCAAAATATTAGCAGTATCACTGATATCATGAAGCAGGTATTCTGCTTTTTGACAGAAAGACTACAGCAATAATACATTTTGTATTTTTATTAAGATTGCTCATTCAGTTATCCAACAAATATTTATTGAGTGTCTTTGAACCTAGGCATTATTCTAGGCCTGGGGGATACAGCAGTGAACAAAACAGACACAAATCCCTGCCCACGTGAAGCTTAAAATCCAGAAAGAGCATTAAGAACAGATATGTTAATAACTTGATAAAGTGTCTATTATGCTAGATGATGGTAAGTGTTGTGGAGAAAATAGAGCTGGAAAGGAAGAAAAGAAGGGCTGGGTGTGATTGTAATTTTTATAGGTGAGAAGGTATCATAAGGAAGTAAGGACACGAGGAAGTGAACCAGGTAGGTTCTTGGAGGAATACAGAAAGAGAGGTTACGCTGGGGACAAAATCAGAATCCAAATACATTTTCTGACACCTATTTTCCACTGACCACTCTCTTTCCCACTTCCTTTATTATTTGTTTTATTTGCCTTTCTCTGGATATTTTCAGTCTGGTTTTGTCTTTGAGATTAGATGCCAGAACTTGGTACTTTAGTGAGATTTTAAAATAAGAACAAGCACTGGCAGATTTGGCTCAGTGGTTAGAGTATTGGCCTGCGGTCCAGAGATACCCGGGTTCGGTTCCTGTTGGGGGCACGTACCTTGGTTTCGGTTTGTCCCCAGCCCCGGTTGGGGTGGTGCGGGAGGCAGCCACTCGATGTGTCTCTTTCACATTGATGTTTCTCTCTCTCTCTTCCTCTCTCTCTCTCCCACTCTGCCTGAACAAAAATGGAAAAATGTCCTCGGATGAGGATAAAAATAATAATAATAAATAAGAACAAAATAATGCTAAATTTCTTCTAGGGTTATTTTTTGCTTTTTAAATTTGTTTTAGCAATTGCAGGAACAGCAGTAGCACAGAATTGATGTTTTAATAAAATAGTTTACAATGCCTAGTTAATTAGTGTTCTGGTCACAATGAATTCTCTTGAACACAACATATGTAAAGGTAAGTTATTTCCCTGGAAGTTATCTTGTATCTGTATTCAGTCAAGTTCATTTGCCTCATTTCTGCCCACTTGCACAGCCTTGTGAAAATCTCCTTTAGATCTTCCTGCCAATTTGGCATTAAACTATCCATGAATACTTACTTCATTTTCATAATTATGAAGCTGTTGGAATCTATGATAAAAGGTAATTTTATTGAATAAGGCAAGCAGTTGTTTTCCCAGAGCAAAAAAGAGAAATGTACCTAGAAAGTCTTTTTAGTTGATAAATATGTAAGGCAAAAAAGAAACAGTCTGATTTTTCAAAGGGTGTTTCACAAAGTGTCACACCAAAAATTAGTAACACTAAAAGAGATAAATTCACATAGCATGGAGGAATAGTTTATCATATCAGACAATGGAATTAAAGATAAAAATCAACTAGTAAATGTAAATGAACTTATTTTGAAATATACAATCAAAATAATTTTTCCATAAATGATTTGACAGAGTTAGTAGAGAAGTCTTCATTATTATACCATGCTCTTCTCTGCTTTTCCTGTTTCTTTGGAATCACTCTTCTATTGTGGACAAACTGTCTTAACTTCTTAGAACTCTTTCTAGCGAGTCTTCATTTAGTTTCCACACAACTGAAACTTGGCTTTCTCCTTCCGGCACTCCAGACTTTCTTGCCTGCCTGAACTCATTCACTCTGCTCCCTGTTCTTGGAAGGTCTTCATCTCCTGTTAAAAGTAAACCTTCTTAGCCCAGCTGGAGTAGGGTTTGATCCCTGGTTGGGGTATGTATGGAGGGCAGCAGATCAATGTTTCTCTCTCCCTTCCTTTCTTTAAGCATGTCCTCCAGTGAGGATTAAAAAAAAAAAAACAGGCCCTGGCCAGTTTGGCTCAGCGGTTAGAGCGCTGGCCTGGGGACCACGGAGTTCCGGTTCGGTTCTGCTAAGGGCAGGTACCTCAGTTGGGGTTTGTCTCCCACCCGGTTGGGGTCGTGTGGGTAGCAACCGGTCAGTGTGTCTCACTGTGTCTCTCTTGCATGGATGTTTCTCTCTCTCTCTTCTCCCCTCTCTCCCTCCCGCTCTATCTGAAGATAGATGCAAGAATGTCCTCATGTGAGGATAAAAACAAAAAAACAAAAACAGAAAACAAACTTCCAGATGGCCTTTCATATTTCCCAAAGTGCTTTTCCATTGATTTCACAACACTTGGTAGAATCTTTTTCTCTTTCTTCATCCTTTCTACTGGATTGCCAGCCTCTTCTGGACAACTTGTATTCCCAATACACTTTTCATGGTGCCTCAAAACATTTTAAATAAAAGTAGGGCAAGTCACTTAGAGATTCCTCCTTGGATACACTAACCCATGGCCACTCCCTTCACTCACTGTCCATCTCAGGCCATTGGCTTTCCCATGTCACTTGTGAATTCATTCAAAACGTTTGAGCATATGCCATACTGAAATGATTTATTCTATTCTAATACAGAAAACAAAAAGTTGTGGGGACACACTTCAGGTACTCTGTCAAAGATGAGCTAAACGCTGGAGGCAAAAAAAAAAAAAACCCAAAAAACAAAAACGGGGCTACCATTTAGGGAGGTGTGTGTGACCAGGTAACAATATTTCCTTAAAATACCAGGGCCCATTGAGTCACCTATGTTTTGTGTAGGTTTCGGAAGCTCTCTCAGGTACGCTAATAGAAAAAGGTTCAGGGTGGTTATAAGTCATACTCCAGTTTCAATTTCTCGAAGATGTTTTGGGTTCCTCTGCATCCATCGCTGAGCGCAGAAATGTCCCTCCCACCAAGCCTACAGCTGCCCGCCCCGCCTCGCCTCGCCCCTCCGCTTCGCCCCGCCCCTCCGCTTCGCCCCACCCCCATCTCGCCCGTCCTCAGCACCGTCGCACTGCACGCTGGGAGTCGTAGTGCCGGCTGGCAGCGCCCAAAAGGACGGAAGGGCACGGGAGGCTAGCCCGCCCCCTCGCTCCGAGAGGTCGGGTTCCTGGGCTGCTCCCTTTCGTTTTCTCGGGCGGAGCCTTCCGTGAGCACCGCTGGATTTGTCGGTGCCACCGTCTCTCTTCTGGAGTTTCAATAAAGTTTTCCTTTTCCTCCCGGCCTTGTACGGAGCTCAAGATGGCGGCCTCCTGGTCGCCCTTGGTTACCCTGCGATTAGTGCAGAGCCGGTTGAGAGGGAGATGTGTTGGGTGCGGAGCCTGGGCAGCTGCTCTCACCCCTCCGGCCACCGCCCCTGGGAACCCCTTTTGGAAAGGTCAGTGACTGTGCCATGAGTAGGCCGAGTCGACTGCCTATGACCGGGCAAGCCTCGGGTCAGGCACCCTCCCTCCTGGTTCCACGGTTTTCGAGCTCTCGAGAGGAGTTTGTTTAAGCCTCTCTTGCTCTTCTATTACTGTCAGTTTATGAAGTAGCCTTGAGCACTAAGGGAGCTGGCCCAGAGTGTCATTTTGAGGGTCGGAGGTCGAACCAGAGTTAGTTCCCTTCTGGCTGTTAGAGAGCCCAGGTGAGCCCAGGTGTGGGAGTGCCTGGCTAGAAGGGATGCTAGTGTGTGGTTGGAGCCAGGAGACCCTTCCATCCTGCGCCTTCCCAAGCTGTCCAGCCTGGTGACCGGGCACTGGATCTAAAAGCCAGCCTGGGACCCCTGGGGGACCTCTGGTTCTTGGGATTCTGGGAACACGCATCCACAAGCATTCGCAGATTGA